ATATAAAAAATTAGCCAGGCATTATGGTACATGCCTGTAGTCCCACCTACTCAGGAGGCTGAGATCAGAGGATTGCTTGAGCCCAGGAGTTCAAGGGAGAGGTGAGTTATGATCATCACACCACTGCACTCCAGCCTGGTAACAGAGCAAGTTACAAACAGAGCAAAAACAAAACAGAGCAAGTTTTGTTTTTTGTCTCAAAAAAACAAAAGGCTGGGCTGGGCACGTTGGCTCGCACCTGTAATCCCAACACTTTGGGAGGCCGAGGCAGGCAGATCACCTGAGGTCAGGAGTTTGAGACCAGCCTGACAAACATGGTGAAACCCTGTTTCTACTATAAAATACAAAAAGTAGACGGGCGTGATGGCTAACCCCTGTAATCCCAGTTACTCAGGAGGCTGAGGCAGGAGAATCACTTGAACCGGGGAGGTGGAGGTTGCAGTGAGCAGAGATCGCACGACTGCACTCCAGCCTAGGCGACAACGGTGAAACTCCGTCTCAAAAAATAAATAAATAAATATTAGAAGAGGCCAGGTTTGACAGCTCACGCCTGTTATCCCAGCATTTTGGGAGGCCAAGATGGGCAGATCACTGGAGGACAGGAGTTTAAGACCAGCCAGGCCAACACGGTGAAACTGTGTCTCTCTAAAAATACAAAAATTAGCCAGTCCTGGTGGTGCATGCCTGTAATCTCAGCTACCTGGGAGGCAGAGGCACAAGAATCGCTTGAACCTAGGAGGCGAAGGTTGCAGTAAGCTGAGATAGCGCCACTACACTTCAGACTAGGCAATAGAGTGAGACTCTGTCTCAAAAAAAAAAAAAAGACTTTTAAGAAAGGAAAATAACAGCCAGGCGTGGTGGCTCATACCTGTAATCTCGACACTTTGGGAGGCTGAGGTGGATGGCATCTGAGGTCAGGAGTTCAAGACTAGCCTGGTCCAGATGGCGAAACCCCGTGTCTACTAAAAATATAAAAAATTAGCTGGGCATGGTGGCAGACGCCTGTAATCTCAGCTACTCAGGAGGCTGAGGTATGAGAATCACTTGAACCAAGGAGGCAGAGGTTGCCATGAGCTGAGATCATGCCACTGCACTCCAGCCTGGGTGACAGAGCAAGACTTGGTCTCAAAAAAAAAAAAAGAAAGAAAACAACAGACTCTTTCAGAAACAAAGACACAAAAATATCTAACAATTTGTCATGGAATATATTTTAAAAGGATAAAACAACAATATAACTTTGTTCCTGGAAAATAGGCTGGTTTAACATTTGAAAATCAAAACATTAACAAAATTAACTCGATCCATAGGTTAATATCAATCAATCCACTGAAAAAGAAGAAAACAATATAATCATCTCAATAATAATTAAATTCATTCTTCTGGTCTATTAGCTAAAAACAAATAATAATAATTAAACGGCCGGACGCAGTGGCTCACGCTTGTAATCCCAGCACTTTGGGAGGCCGAGGCAGGCAGATCATGAGGTCAGGAGATCGAGACCATCCTGGCTAACACGGTGAAACCCCATCTCTACTAAAAATATAAAAATTAGCCAGGCGTGGTGGCGGGCGCCTGTAGTCCCAGCTACTCGGGAGGCTGAGGCAGGAGAATGTTGTGAACACAGGAGGCAGAGCTTGCAGTGAGCCGAGATTGAGCCACTGCACTCCAGCATGGACGACAGAGCGAGACTCTGTCTCAGAAAAAAAAGTAATAATAATAATAATAATTAAACTCACAGCCTGAGCAACATGGCAAAACCCTGTCTGTAGAAAAAATAAAAAAATTAGTCAGGCATTGTGCTGTGCACCTGTAGTTCCAGCTACCTGGGAGACTAAAGTCAGAGGATTGCAGTGAGCTGTGATCGCACCACTGCACTCCAGACTGGGTGACAGAGTGAGACCCGACTTAAAAATTTTTCTTAAAAAGTTCAAATTCAGTACCCACTGGATGATAAGTCTCAGCAAACCAAGGGCCAGGTGCAGTGGCTCACTCCTGTAATCCCAGCATTTTGGGAGGCCAAGGTGGGTGGATCACCTGAGGTCAGGAGTTCGAGACCAGCCTGGCCAACATGGCGAAACCCCGTCTCTACTAAAAGTGCAAAAATTAGCTGGGTGTAGTAGCATATGCCTATAGTCCCAGCTACTCGGGAGGCTGAGGCAGGAGGGTCACTTGAACCTGGGAGGCAGAGGATGAAGGGAGCCAAGACCATGCCACTGCACTCTAGCCTGGGTGACAAAGTGGGACTATGCCTAAAAAAAAAAAAAAAAAGAAGAAAGAAAAGAGAGAAAGAGAGACAGAGAGAGAGAGAGGAAGAGAGAGAGACTAGATACCTTGGAAACAGCAATAATGAGAGGCAGGAAGAGGAAGAAGACTTCACTGACAAGACAGAAAAGAAATAATTACAGAGGAAGGAATAGATCAGAAACCAACTGAGAAGACATTCTAGGGAGATTAAACATGAGCATCAACTGGACAGAATGCTCAATTAAGGCAAGCACTAAAGTATCCATGACATTTGGATACCCCTACCAGGCAGAACCAGCAAGCCATGTTGTTCAAAATGAGAAAGGGAAACGTGGAGATACTTGCCAGAAAATACAGCTTTAACCTTGCTGTTGTACAATCTATACATACATTTAAGGAGTTTATCTGAAGGTGATATAATCCATTCTTTCATGCAGCTATCTCAGCTTCTATGCCTAAATCAAGCAGGACCATCAGAAAGAGGTCTATGGGACCAAGGTGCCTCCATCCCTAGAAATGCACTGACTGGAGTACTCCACCCGCACGAAGTACTCAATTACAGGCAGCAGACTGCACTGATTTCTGGTACTCATTGAAAGAATGAAGACTGTCTACTAAGCCATCTACAGGAAAACTGGAAAAAGAATGTTTTTTAGACTTCAATGCCAATAACTCCTTTTTTTTTTTTTTTTAAGGGGCTTTCCAGTGTGAAAGGAAAATAAATCTTGGGGCACCAAAATCACTAAGCTAAAGAGAAAAGTCAAGCTGGGAACTGCTAAGGGCAAGCCTGCCTCTCATTCTATTTAAAGTCACCCCTCTGCTCACTGAGATAAATGCAAAACTGATTGCCTCCTTTGAAGAGGCTAATCAGAAACTCAAAAGAATGCAACTATTTGTCTCTTACCTACCTAAGATCCCGCAAGCCACCTGCCCTCCAAGTTGTCCCACCTTTGCTTCCAGTTGTCCTTCCTTTCCGGACTGAACCAATGTTCATCTTACATATATTGATTGATGTCTCAAGTCTCCCTAAAATGTATGAAACCAAAGTGTGCTCTACCCACATTGGTGCATGTCTGATCAGGACCTCCTAAGGCTGTCACAGGCGCATGTCCTCAACTTTGGCAAAATAAAGTTTCTAAATTAACTGAGGCCCATCTCAGATATTTTGGGTTCACACTGGCAAAAAGTGGAAAGCCTGCTAGACAAATTCTAAGAGCCGTAACTCTTTTGAGTCTAGTTCTGTTGCCAAGGTTGGAGTGCAGTGGCGGGTTCTAGGCTCACTGCAAGCTCCGCCTCCCGGGTTCACCCCATTCACCTGCCTCAGCCTCCCGAGTAGCTGGGACTACAGGCGCCCACCACCATGCCTGGCTAATTTTTTGTATTTTTAGTAGAGATGGGGTTTCACCGTGTTAGCGAGGATGGTCTCCAGCTCCTGACCTCGTGATCCGCCCGCCTCGGCCTCCCAAAGTGCTGGGATTACCGCGCCCAGCAAAGAGCTGTAAATCTTAATGTCTCATGAAGAATTCTTTTTTGTTTGTTTGTTTTTTAAATTAAGGCGGAGTCTCCCTCTATTGCCCACGTTGGAGTTCAGTGGCATGATCTCGGCTCACTGCAACCTCCAACTCGCATGTTCAAGCTGTCTCATGAGAAATTCTTTTCTTTTTTCCCAAGACGGAGTCTTGCTCTGTCGCCCAGGCTGGAGTGCAGTGACACGATCTCAGCTCACTGCAACCTCCACCTCCCGGGTTTAGGCGATTCTCCTGCCTCAGCATCTGGAGTAGCTAGGATTACAGGCATGCACCACCATGCCCACCTATTGTTTGTATTTTCAGTAGAGACAGGATTTCACTATGTCGGCCAGGCTGGTCTCGAACTCCTGACCTTGTGATCCGGCAGCCTCCCCCCACCCCCCGCCTCGGCCTCCCAAAGTGATGGGATTACAGGCATGAGCCACCACGCTAGGCTTTTTTTTTTTTTTTTTTTGAGATGGAGTCTCACTCTGTCACCCAGGCTGGAGTGCAGTGGCTCTATCTCAGCTCGCTACAACCTCCGCCTTCCGAGCTCAAGGGATTCTCCTGCCTCAGCCTCTGGAATACCTAATGAATGGGATGACCTGGACATTCACCCCTCTGGAGTTCAATGGTTTTCATCTTTCATGTCAGGCAGAAATTGGTAATCCAGGAAGCTGTTTCCTCCTCTACTTTCTGAGTAAGCATGGTGGAAGCACCCACATCTCTCAAGGCCACTGTGGTAACGGGCATAGCACGGGGAGCTCAGGATCTGGAAAGAGTAGATAATTCAGAAAAATTCAAAGGCCGTTGGGGTGTTTAAGACAGAATTTTCTTGGCCAGGAGTGGTGGCTCACGCCTGTAATCCCAATACTTTGGGAGGTGGAGGTGCGCGGATCACCTGAGGTCAGGAGTTCGAGACCAACCTGGCCAACGTGGGGAAAACCTGTCTCTACTAAAAATACAAAAATTAGCCAGGCGTGGTGTCATGCGCCTGTAATCTCAGCTACTCGGGAGGCTGAGGCAGGAGAATCGCTTGAACCCGGGAGGCAGAGAATACAGTGAGCCGAGATCGTGCCACTGCACTCTAGCCTGGGCGACACTGCTACACTCCATCTCAAAAGAAAAAAAAAATAATTTTCTTAGAAGTAGGTAGCATTTCTTTCCCTCCCAACCAGGTTCTCTCAACCCTGAAGATGGAGAGACATTTCCTGGGCAAGCCTGACCCTAGCCTTAGGTCCAGCTCACCTCTCTGACAGCTGGAGCACAACTCCCGTTGAGTCAGGTGGGATGGCTTGTGGAGCAGAAGCATTACATATTGCATCTCTCCGTGCAAATCTGGGTCGTGTTCTTTCTCAGCCTCGTCCTCTGCTGCTGTGAAAACTCTGGTGAGAGGTTTCCATTCAGGTGGGCCATGCTTCCTCTACCTCACAAGTGCTGCTCTGTTTTCAGAAATTAGGAACTGGCCCTAGGGGCCAAAATCATTTTATTTGGGGCTTACATCAGGGCCCTAAGTCTTGGGACTCCCTGTGCCCCAGAATCTCGGGTTGGTCCTTCAAAAATCCATTAAGACGACTGAGGACACATTGGCTGGACGGTTCAAACGAGGCCTGGGGCCCTCCATTATTAAATGCGGGCCCACAAACCCTGACTACAAGTGCCCCAGGAAAAAACGGAGCTGGCATTATACTTGGCAACGATGTCTGGCGCTCAGTGCTGTAACGACGCAACGCTGGACTTCCGCCGAATGGGCTTTTAGTGGGCAGGCAGAGCGGTGAGCCCCGAGGTCCAGCTCCCGGGCTGTGCTAGAGCGGGCGGTGCCCGCCTCCCTTCTGGAGCGCGAAGCGTCCCCGTAGTCCCCACTAGGGTGCGCAGTAGCGTCGGCACAAGAGCAGCAAATGCCGCCATGACATGCTGCCAGCCTGGCGCGCTGTCTCCTACGCACCAAAGGGCCAAGGCCGCGGCCCCACCCTCCCGCGGGCTCTGCGTGCTCTTTGACCCCAAAGGCGACCCGACCGCGGCCCAGCCCTGCCACTACGGGAAATGGGCAGCGCATGCGCGGCAGTGCCCGTGGCTGTCACAGGCGTGCCTCGCACCACGGACCTAGGGGGGGCCGTTTCCCGTCAGGCTCCGCTACGAACCCTCGCCTCGCCCCGCCCCGCCCAGCGTCCTCTAGCTGGGCGGGGGCGCGTCAGGCGTTGACCCGGTCGCAGACAAAAGACCGCAAAGGACGCCTGCACGGCAGGCATGGAAAAGCGAAAGAGCCCGTGGCGCATGGATTCCTCCGGAAAGCAAAGCGGCTTTGTGATGCAGCTGTAATCACAATGCCAATGGGATGGTGCTCGCTTCTCAAAATTTGAGACTTCCTTGCAATACACAGAATTTGGGGGTGAATAAAAGTGCAAACTAAAAGAAAACGACTATCACACACAGCCTCGTATCCCTTAAAGGACTTTTTTTGAGACAAGGTCTGGCTCTGTTGGCCCAGGCTGGAGTGCAGGGACGCAGTCACGGCTCACTGCACAGCAGTGATGGAAGCAATGTGTATGTGAAGACTTGGCATGATTCACTCCCTGCATAATCAAGTGCTAATGTTCCCATTGGAATAGGTGTAGAGAGAATGCATTCTTGACATGGTTCTACGAATTAGGGAAATTTTATTTTAATTCTGCTTTATCTTTTCTCAGCTTTTCAGACTAGTCTCTACCAATTTAACTGCATCAAGTACATCAAAATCAATTTTAATTAAAAATCCAAAGTTTATTCCAGAGCTATCGATTTTCCAGCATGTTTTACAGCACAAGCATTAATGTTACACTAAATGAATTTTTGCCTTACTTGGTTTAAAAACTATTCTTTCAACAACATTGAATATTAAAATAGCACAAATCAGCAGATCATTCACAAGTTTCAAAGCACATAGATGGCATTTGTAGGAGACTGACAAGTGATGGAGTTAAATTTTGTAAGCTAGTGAAAGGAGACCAGTATAGTCATAATAAACACTGTCCTCGGCTTACTGTTCAAAAGTACTTGGAAAATCTGTGAGTCGAGGGCCAGGCGCAGTGGCTCACGCCTGTAATCCTACCACTTTGGGAGGCTGAGGCAGGAGGACTGCCTGAGCTCAGGAGTTTGAGACCAGCCTGGGCAACATGGTGAAACCCTATCTCTACTAAAACACAAAAAATGAGCCAGGCATGATGTCGTGCACCTGTATTCCCAGCTACTCAGGAGGCTGAGCAGAAGAACTGCCTCAACCCAGGAGGTGGAGGTTGCAATGAGCTGAGATCATGCCACTGCACTCTACTTCAGCCTGGGCGACAGAGCAAGACTCCGTCCCTAAAAAAAAAAAAAGAAGAAGAGATAAAAGAAAATCTGAGTCCTAGGCCGGGCGCAGTGGCTCAAGCCTGTAATCCCAGCACTTTGGGAGGCCGAGACGGGCGGATCACGAGGTCAGGAGATCGAGACCATCCTGGCTAACGCGGTGAAACCCCATCTCTACTAAAAAAATACAAAAATCTAGCCGGGTGAGGTGGCAGGCGCCTGTAGTCCCAGCTACTCGGGAGGCTGAGGCAGGAGAATGGCGTGAACCCGGGAGGCGGAGCTTGCAGTGAGCCGAGATCCGGCCACTGAACTCCAGCCTGTCCAGCCTGGGTGACAGAGCAAGACTCCGTCTCAAAAAAAAAAAAAAAAAAAAAAAAAAAAGAAAATCTGAGTCCTAACAATTTTTTAAAATATTAAAAGAATTGCATTATTTCAAACCTTGTGCATAACATACAACTTTCAAATATTTATTCATGTTGTTTTAAATCTGTATAAATTCCCATAAAACATGAGAGCATTATACTCATCAGGCAACCCTTGCTTTGTACAGTTCTAATATACACGAATTTCAGTCACCATGATTTAATAACACCAGTCCCCCAACACCACAACTCAAATTTCAAGTACACAGTATATTAACTGTGAGTCTTCGCATAAAGTGCAGGCTTGGCTGCTAGCTCTTCAGTCTACACATCATTATATTAATAACAAATGCATGTAAAAAACAAAACAAAACAAAAAAAACAAATGCATGTCATGATCAGTAACCAGTCACATCACTTCTGTCTGTTGGTGACTGCTCACTGTAAGTTTGTTATTCAGCTCACTCAGAAACAGTAACATCTGTAGTTGTGTGGGCTTCATCTTCTAGTGATATACAATGTTGTGGTTACTGAGAACTGCAGAACTCTCCCCACATAACTCCATCTGAAACTCTGCACTGAGAGACAAATTGGCATGGTTTCTAGTAGCATAGCCTGTGTTCCCAGGATGACCCCAGTCCCCACCATTAAACTGCCTGCCTGAGAAATCTCAGTGCTGCCAGGGTAACTTACTGTTCTTGCCAACATCGGACCATAGGCCCCTGACTGCCCTCTCTTAGAGCATTTAGTAAAAAGGACTTACAATTATGAATCTTTCCTCTGTCCCTTTGAGATGTTTATGTGATACACGTTGTGTATGTGTATGCACGTGTGTGTCTCCTACAGCTCAGAAGTGTCTTTCTCAAGGAACACTGCTTCCTCGAGGAGCCACTGCTTTGAAATGTAGTGATTGGGAAAGATAAGGCCTCTGTCTCCCAGTCTCTGTGGGAGGACAGAATCCTAACTTTGATCATTGCCAGCAGGCAGACACCGCTGGCCTCATCACATTTACACTGGTCCCTTGTAATTTTTCATATCCACAACTCTACTGAGCCCCCACTCGTACCCCTCCATACTCCCTCATTCCCCCTTTAAAATCACCAATCGACTACATTCAGTGGAGAGTATTTGGAAAAAAAAAAAAAGGGAAGAAAATGGAAAAAAGATATAAAATATCCAACCATCAAAAAAAGAAAAAAAGCCCAATCATCACTGTACAAATCAGAATGGAGCTCAGCTCTTTCCCCTACTGTCAGTGGTTACTGAATAAAATGTTTTCACCACTTTAACGTCTGCTGTGTTTATCTTTGATATTACCCAAAGATACGAGATAGATTCCCCACCCAAAACCTGGTTTTTCAAAACTGGTGACAGCCCCACACGCACAGAGAGAATATGTAAAGGCTTATGACTCACATAAGGCTTTCTGGGGGAGAACAGGGATGAATCCCAAACAGGTTCAAAAATAGCTTGAGTCTGGGTGCAACGGCTCACGCCTGTAACCCCAGCATTTTGGGAGGCCAAGCCAAGAGAGGATCACTTGAGCCCAGGAGTTTTGAGACCAGCTTGGGCGACACAGTGGCACTCGTCATCTCTACAAAAAAAATTTAAAAATTAGCCAGGCATGGTGGCACACCCCCGTGGTTCCAGCTACTGGGGAGGCTGAGCTGGAAGGATTGCCTGAGCCCAGAGGTCTAGGCTGCAGTGAGCTGTGATCATGGCCCTGCACTCCAGCCTGGGCGACACAATAAGACCCTGTCTCCAGAAAAAGAAAAAGAAGAAAAAAAAAATGGCTTGAGAGCAGGGAGGAGAGACTGGCTTTGGGTGTTATTAAGGTCAAGGAGTGGGGCAGAAGTGAAGGCTCCAATGCACATGCTGGAGCCTGTGTGGCTTGCACTTGCCTTTAGAGCCAAAGGAGGAAGCACCTGGGCTTTCAAATCAGTCATCCAGGTGTGGGACAGAAGGGGCGGGAAGAGGTGGGGTTTAAAAGCTGTCAGTAGTCAAAGATCAAATATGAAGTCAGACTCTCTAGTTCATAAAAACTACATTTACATAGAACATACAAAAAATGGAAAATTAAAAGAGAATTGGCCAACAAAGATGAAATTGCAGCAAAGAAAAAGTGGTAACACAGGAAGTGAAACTGGAATTGAGCATTTCCTGCAGTGCCACCCAGTCCTTGTTCTCATCATGCAGGTTTCCTGCTCCTCGCAGAGCCAGCGAAGTTTACTTTGTGGTGTAGGAACTCTCTTCTAGTTGTCCTCTTCTTTTCCACCCTACTATCAGTTGGCAGGCTCTGCAAGTGCTCCCATAATGGTGCAAACTGGCCGGGTGCAGTGGCTCACGCCTGTAATCCCAGCACTTTGCGAGCTGAGGTGGGAGGATCACCTGAGGTCAGGAGTTCGAGACTAGCCTGACCAACATGGAGAAACTCCATCTCTACTAAAAATACAAAATTAGCTGCGCATGGTGGCCCATGCATGTAATCCCAGCTACTCAGGAGGCTGAGGCAGGAGAATTGCTTGAACCCGAGAGATGGAGGCTGCAGTGAGCCAAGATCACGCCACTGCACTCCAGCCTGGGCAATAAGAGCAAAACTCCATCTCAAAAGAAAAATGATAATAATAATAATAATGGTGCAAACTTTGGCCAGGTGCAGTGGCTCACGCCTGTAATCCCAGCACTTTGGGAGGCCGAGGCGGGCGTATCACCTGATGTCAGGAGTTCAAGACCAGCCTGACCAACGTGGAGAAACCCCATCTCTACTAAAAATACAAAATTACCTGGGTGTGGTGACACATGCCTGTAATCCCAGCTGCTACGGAAGCTGGGGCAGGAGAATTGCTTGAACCTGGTAGATGGAGGTTGCAGTGAGCCGAGATCACGCCATTGCACTCCAGCCTGGGCAACAAGAGCAAAACTCCATTTCAAAAAAATAATAATAATAAAAATAATAATAATAATGGTGCAAACTTTGAGGTTTCCAACGTGGCTCCAAATGTATTACTAGTAGGATCACCACAGTGCAAGTGTTATCACCTTTAGAGATAAGGAAATAGAGATGTTAAGGCTTCTTTTTCTTCTAAATCGTTGATATCTACTGTTATTTTACACTTAACAGCCATTTAAATTTGGATGCTAAATTTTCATCAGAAATACTTGATCTATAATTAGATTTTATTAAATTGACTATGGATAAACAGGCATTCACATACCCAAATTATTCTGGGCACTTAAAAGCTTTCCGGCTGGGCATGCGGTGGCTCACACCTATAATCCCAGCACTTTGGGAGGCCAAGGCGGGCAGATCACCTGAGACCAGGAGTTCGAGACCAGCCTGGCCAACCTGGTGAAACCCCATCTCGACTAAAAACACAAAAAACTAGCCAGGTGTGGTAGCACACTCCTGTAATCCCAGATACTCATGAGGCTGAGGCAGGAGAATCACTCAAACCCAGGAGGCAGAGGTTGTGGTGACCTCAACCTTTGAGGTCTCCGCAAAGGTTGGTGATCTCACCATTGCACTCCAGCCTGGGCAACAGAGTGAGACTCCATCTCAAAAAAAAAAAAAAAAAGAGGCCAGGCTTGGTGGCTCACGCCTGTAATCCCAGCATTTGGGAGGCCAAGTCGGACGGATCACCAGAGGTTGGGAGTTCGAGACCAACCTGACCAACATGGAGAAACCCTGTATCTACTAAAAACACAAAATCAGCCGGGCGTGGTGGCACATGCCAAAAAAATCCCAGCTACTTGGGAGGCTGATGCAGGAGAATCACTTGAACCCGAGAGGTGGAGGTTGCAGTGAGCCAAGATCACGCCATTGCACTCCAGCCCGGGCAAAAAGAGCAAAACTACGCCTCAAAAAAAAAAAAAAAAGTTTTCCAATAACCGAATCAAGTATCAGTATTTAAATTAAAACTTAGATTAAAATTAAAAGTTAACATTCAGGCCTGGCATAGTGGCTCACACCTGTAATCACAGCACTTTGGGAGGCCGAGGCAGGTGGATCACCTGAGGTCAGGAGTTTGAGACCAGTCTGGCCAAAATGGGGAAACCCCATCTCTACTAATAATATAAAAATTAGCCAGGCGTGGTGGCGGGTGCCTGTAATCTGAGCTACTTGGGAGGCTGAGGCAGGAAAATCACTTGAACCCAGGAGGTGGAAGTTACAGTGAGCTGAAATTGTGCCACTGCACTCCAGACTGGGCAACAGAGTGAGACTCAGTCTCATTAAAACAAACAAACAAAAGAAAGCTTCAATAGATGTTAACTGCTGAGGAACATTACAACAACATAAACAGAAATAAGCTCAAAATACATGTTGAAGCATTACAAAATACTGAAAAGGAATTTTTTTTAAATACTGATTTCACAAGCGCACAGTTCCACTTCTGTAACACAGCTGTTAACTGTTCCTTGGTTACTTACATAATGTTAGACTGAATTAAGTAGAATTTTCCTATGA